CCCCCCCCGCACCCCGGGCAGCCACATCAAGATGAGCAGAAAACACTCGTTCAACTCTGACAGATGCTACTTAGGCCATACACCTAATTCCTACTCCTTTAACAAGTAGTCAACGTTTGAAAAGTCAGTAGGAAGTGTACGTTTCCAATGGGCCTGAAGTCACAGGTCCTGTTTGCCGGGTTCTGACCCCGAGCGCAACACAAAAGGTGACCCATCGGCAGTGCTATCTCATGGGTCTAGTGCTCCAAGAGGCGAACAGGGAGCACACCGCTTGCAAGGACTCCGTGACTCGGCACGTGAGGGGCTGGAGCGCCCGCCTTCCTGGCGAGCAGAGGCGGAGCCAGGCCCCGATCACAGGCCACCCACCTGGAGGACGGGGCCCATGCTGTCCTCGCCATCTCCTGCTGGCTCCTCGCTCGTGTCAGGTGCGGCCCCATGGAGAGAGCCTAGAACAAAAGGGCCCCCGTGAACAGGTGCACACACCCAGCGTGCAGAGGACCCCAACACCAACACCTGGGAACCTGGAGCCCCGTGCACCAGGGCCCAAGACCTGGGCAGAGGTAGGTGCAGGCTGGGGTGGGGGTTCACACCGAGGGGTAAGGTGCCACTGCAGGCCTGGAAGTGAAAGCAACGTCCCAAAGGCGGCGGGGCCTGAGCAGCCCTTAGAGCGAAACTAAGAATCACGAGCGGGCGTCTTGCATAGCCAACGTAGCGTCAGAAGTTCCAGAGACAAAGAAGAGGGGTGCTAGATGCCACCGCGGGAGAGCCCCGGATCAAGGGGCCGCAGAGAGAGTGTTCAGATCGCTCGGGGCTGTGATGTCACGGCCTACCTACAGCATGGTTCTGGACAACAGGCAGGCAGGCAGGACAGAGAAGGGGGACGGCAGGGCCACAGGCAGGCTCGGGGGGCCCTCCAGGAGACTACTAAACCTGCCTGTGTTGGGGCGACTCGGCTACAGAGGAAAAGGATGGGCAAGATAACACAAGATGGCCGGATAAAACGCTGGGGGCACAAACACAGCCACCAGGAGAGCTCCACTGGGGGCGTGAAGAGCTGGCAGGGGGCGGATGTTAACCCTTGAATCTACGCGGTCAAATGAGCTTCCATAAGGGCTCTAGAACCACTCACTGGGGAAGGACAGGCTCTTCAACAGACGGTGCTGGGAAAACGGGACATCCATGTGCAAGGGAACGAAGCTAGGTCCTGACCTAGCACCATAAACAAAAATCAGCTGGAAGTAGGTGAAAGACCCACGTGTAAGAAGCCAAACAGCGTAACTCTGAGAAGTAAATAAAGCAAGGCCCTCACGAGACTGGACGCAGCGAGGACTTCTCAGGTGTGGCCCAGAAGACACAGGGAACAGGGCAATTGAACTTTGTGAGGATGAAAACTTCCGTGCATCCAAAGCCGCTACCCAGAGGGCAGCGCGCAGAGGGAGAAGATATCTGCGGATCACAAACCCGACAAGGCGTGAGTGTCCAAAACACACAGGGAGCCCGTAACACTCAGCGGCACAGGGCACCCTCCCCTGCCCAAAACAAAGGACTAGGGCAGACCCATCTCCGGGAAGACGCACAGACGGCCACCAAGTGCCTAAGGGTGTTCACATCCCTGATCATCAGGGACACACAGACCAAAACCACAGCGAGACACCCCCTCACACCCACGGGGATGCTCCCGCCAGCAAAACAGGACATGGGGCCCCTCGTGCGCTGTTGGCAGGAATGCAAGACGGTGCAGCTGCTGTGGAAACAGCATGGAGGGGGTCCCCCCAAAATTTTAAAAACAATGATGTATGATCCCACAATCCCACTTCAGGGCATTTGCCCCCACGAACTGAAAGCAGGGACTCCGAGCTATCCCTGTTCACCCATGTTCACTGCAGACTCCTTCACAGTAGCTACAATGTGCACGCAACCCAAGGGTCCCTCGATGGGTGACTGGACACCCATAACGTGGTCTATGCACGGTGGTGCACTATTCAACCTTAAGAGAAAGAAAAGAAACTGACATGTGCTCGAGGACGTGACGCTGAGTGAAATCAGCCGGCCACAAAAGGACAAATCCCGTGGGACGCACTTATATGAGGCCCAGAGCAGTCAGCGTCACAGAGACAGAGAATGGATGGTGGGCGCCATTGGCTGGGGAGGGCGCCATTGGCTGGGGAGGGAGCCATTGAGGGGAGGGGGTCAGTGTTTAACGGGGACAGAGTTTCAGTATGGAAAAATGGAAAGTTCCAGAAAGATGGTGGGGACAGCCGCACAACAGTGTGAACACGCTTACCACCACCGAACTGAACACTTAACGATGGTTAATGTAGCAAGCTTCACGTAACACATATTTTCGCACAAAAAGAGTCAGAGGCAGGCAGAGTCCTAAAGCTGGCGGCAGACGCACGCCTACAGCCACAGGCCACAACCGAGGCCACAGGCCACCTGAGATCAACTGACGTCCCACAAGGACCCACATGAGCATCGAGGCAGTGAACAGACCCCAAAGCCCTTCCCCGGGACATCCCCCGTGGCAGGTTTCCCCGTGGTACGCTCCATCCACTCACTCACCCACCCACCCCGGCTCGTGGGCACCTCGTCTCTGCCAAGTGACGCTCCCAGCACTGGGGACGCAGCTGTGATCAACAACACTCGCCGTCCTGGGGGAGCCCACGTCCGGTGGGGAGAAAGGGCCACAAATGACAAACGTCATTTATCTAAGTGACTTATCCCAGAAAATGAGATGTGTTGTGGGGAAACCCAGTGAGCGAGCCAAGGCAGGGGCTGGGAGGCTGTTTAAACAGGGTGGTCTGGGTGGGCCCAGTGATGGAGGGTTGGGACCAGAGAGGAAGGGTGAGCGGGGAGGAACCGTAAGTCAGAAAGGAGCCAGGGAGTCAGGATCGCATCCTGGGAAAGGGAGGCTGGAGAGGAAAAACACACGTGCTTGTTTCTGGAAGTCAACCCGGCTGCTGGGCCACAGATAAAAGCTGGGGGTAAGCTCAGGAACAAGGGGACCAGGCCAGAGGCGAATGCGGGAACCCCAGCAGGCACCGAAGCTTGCCGGGCCAGGACGGGTGCCGGCACACCAGATGCGCTGTGTCCCTCACCTCTCCGTGGCTCCTTGGACGGCACGTCCTCCTCCCGCTCGTCCTCCGACGTCCCCTCCTCCTCCTCTGGTGCCTCCAACTCATTCATAAGGTCCTCGATGGCAAACGGGGCCTGCTCCACAATCGTTTCAAAGACGCCCCGAGTGATGTTATGCAAGACCAGGGAGCTGAGGGGCAGCCGCACAGGAGCAGGCCAGTTAGGTCGCGCCCATCCATCCAGCCCCGCCCACGGCAGCCACCCTCCAGTGGCCCTGTCATGCACCCGGACAGGACTCAGCCTCTCTTCCCGGAGGTGGGCATCCGGGGAATTCAGTGAGAAAGAACCGGCCAGAGGAAGCCCCTGCCACTTACTCCTTAGTCTGAGCGGCGATCGTGCAGAAGGGCTCGATGAACTTGAGGTTCTGGTCCGCCGTCAGCTACGAGGAGAGACAGGCGTGGCCTGAGGCCCTTGTGCCTGAGCACAGGTGAGGGGCTCGGCCACCACCCTCGGCCCGCCGCCCTCACCTCCGCGGCGCCCACTTTGCTCAGCTCCTCCAGGAAGATCTCAAGGAAGTGGCTCTTGACCCCGCTGGGGGCCTGGCTGTCAGGGTGCAGGATCTCTGTCGTCAGCAGCTCCAGCAGCCGTTCCGCCTGCCTGAGGAGGGAGACGGGCAGGTACAGCAGGCGGCCACAGCCAGCCACGAGCCAGTGAGGTCCCTCTACCTGAAGCGGAACTCTGACGGGGCACGGTGACAGGCAAGCGCCCATCCTCCCAACGTGCCGCTTTCCGTCGGTGCCGACCTGGTGACCCGGGCGGGTCTGTTCCAGCACAAAGGACTCGTCATTACAGACGTGGGACCACTGTCGGCACCAGCGCACGTGGCAAGACAATCTCAGCTACGAGGGCCTTCCCTTCCATCACCATGCCGGGGGCCTGGAGTGACAAGAGGCCGCACCACCACGTCTCGCATGGCTCCGTCCTCGCGGGGAAGGAACGCCAGGACAGGGCAAAGAAAGGAGGGGAGGCCAGCGAGGGGGAAGAGCCGCTTCCCCGGTTCCACTGCATGGAGTACGTGGCCCGGGCAGACCACGTCTGCCCTCCCCTAGCATGCTGGTTTCAGTGGTCTGAGGCCTGGGGCTCCAAGGTCAGAGAGCCCTGGCGACCAGCCTTCGATGGTCCCGATACATCGAGGTGCGGAGTGACGTAGCGTTCCCTTCACCTGAACTGTAAAACGCGCCTTCTTTAACGAGCTCCGCGGCTGAAGTGGACGCTTGGCCGCACGGGGACTCGCTGGCTAGGAAAGGATGCTGTCTGCGGCTCAGCCCCGGGACCCCTCCTCCCAGGCCAGTGCCAGTAACGAACGTTGCCAGGCAACCGGCGCCATCCGGCTGTGCGAGAACGGGGACAGGCTGCAAGGACAGCCGGGGCGGACAGCACTGGTGACCCCGGGCCGATGGGAGGCTACCAGCTTGTTCAAGAGGACCTCTGCATTCAATTCCCCACAACGAGGCTGGAACTACTCTCGCAACGATAAACCGAAGAGTTAACAGAAGTAAGACGTCCCTTTAACATGCCCCTCTGCTCAGGCACCAGCCACCTACGGGGACTGAAATCCTGAGTCCCGTCTGGTGGGCGCCTGACCCCGGGCACCCCCCCCACCCCGGAAGTAAAGGATGAAAATCACTCAAAAGCAGAGGCACCCTTGCCCTAAACATGAAGTCACTCATAATCAGGGAACTACGGTCCACTCCTGCTGATCCACGTTTATTTGGGAAAACGCAGGCCAGAGGCAAGGACGTCCCCTTACTCTCCAGAAGATGCACCGCCTGGGCTGGGACACATGCCTGGTGTAGCAGCTAGGCCAGTGGCACTGGTTTTAGGATCCGCATGCTTGAAATGAGCACTTTAGCATGCATACGATTCTTAATCACGAAACCACTCACAATATGTTGTTTCTGACCCTCCCCGCTCCCCAGACCTTGCAGCAGAACACGGGACACAGGGGGCGTCTTCGATGCATCATCAGTGAAATAAAAAAGCGCTCTGCAAACGTGGTGTTTGCTCCACGCCCCTCTGTGCCCCGCACACAGAACACCGCAGAACCTTAAAGGTCGTTACCTGTTGCTGTTCAGCATCTTAAATGTGTTCTGAGTTCCTATACAGGGAAGTGTCACTCTCACGATGAGAAAAAAGTGTAAAGAAACAGTTTTAATTTTAAAAGCTTTAAAATGGCAGCTCAGAAACCCATCTGGAGCCGCAGACCTCGGCCTGCCTCCTGAAGGTGTAGACAGTGGTGCCATACCTGGGAGGCACGGCCGAGGTGGCCTTGCCAGGCGTGGTCCCGGGGGGCCCAGGAGGGTGGAGGAGGGCTGGGGCTCGGCACAGCCCCCCAGCCCGGAGGCTGGGGGAGCCCAAGGCCGGCCACAGACCGAGGGGGCCTCTTAATGTGGGGGACGCGGACTTCCCCTATCACAAGCACCACTGTCAAAAGTGACAAGTCTGAATGAGTCAAAAATTTTTGTGACTGGAAGCAAATACCACTGATAACAGAGCCAACTATGCCACCCCGTATGAAAACAAAACAAAAAACAAAAACAACCACCTTGGCTGTGCGTTAACTATATTGAGAAATGACACTACGTTATTTACGATGAGAGAACTCAATTGGGATTCAGAGTAAGAACTCACCATCGAGGCTGAAAACGTTCACTTCTGAGAACACAAGAACCAACTATGATGTTACAAATGCCTTCCTATGAAGCACCACTGGGTCACCCTTTAACGGGAAGACTGACGTCTCTTTATGACAGAGAGCTAAAGAAGAGGCACGTGACCCAACCCCCAGGGAAGGAACGTGGGCTCGCCCGTGAGAAGCACAGCGGCTCAGGATGCACCATGAGTACCAACCTTTCTTCCCACCCCTGCATCTTCAGGGCCTTCAAGGACTCGTTCAGGACCATCCGCATGAGCTGTGGCATGAACAGAGACCCCCGTTAGTGGGAGCAAGGCCCCGGCTTCCCAGAATCCCCTCCACCCTGGTCGTCTCTGTGGCCCAGAGCGCACAGCAGGCCCCCCAGAGCTGCTGGTGGACAGGACACCAAGCTTCAGGACCCTGAGTACAGAGGATACGCCGCTGCCCCCAGGCTGGGATGCTCCCACCTTCCAAGAGCACCCGGAATTCCAGCTCACAGTGGACACATCCGGGGGCACCGGCAGCACCATCAACAAAAGCCAAACGGAAGTGTCCTCGTTTCAGGGGTGGGAGCAGGGAACCAAGCGTGGGTCCCCCCTGGGGAGGCAGAGCGCTTTGGGAAAACCAGGTCTGAAACGGAGAACGGCCCCTCTGGGCCCCCCGAGGGCTACTGTCCCGACAGAATGGAAGCGTTCGCTCGCTCTCTCGCCTTCACATCAGGTCCCGGCTCCCCGCCACAACTCCCCGCTTCCCGCTGCAACAGCCTTTCCACCCGGTTTCCCCACCGTCCAGAGGCCGAGCAGCACGCCCGCAGAGGGGTCCGGCAGTGGTAAAGGGACAGAGGGTGCACAGGGCACAGCTGGCAGCCAGAAGACCCGTGCCTAGGAACACGGGGTCTCATGTGACATCACTCCTGGGGCCGGCGGCGCCACCAAGAGGGCTGGCCTCTACAGGGGGCTGTGCTGCTGGGCACGCTCACACGGGCCCCCACCAAGCAACAGAAGCCATCCTTCCAAGGTCGCGGCAACTGCATCTCAGGGAACGGGGAGCTGACTTACACAGAAGCTCCTCTGTCTTGTAAACCTGCATCTTGTGCACGTGCACAGCTCGGGCCCTGGCCCCACCCCGACTGCCCTAGCGTCCACCCTCCTTCCTACTTGGGCTCCGGGCCTTGCCCGCTAGCTGGTCCTCACCCTGACATCTGAGATACACAGTGTCCACGCAGCCCTGGGCCAAGTCTGAGCTGGCAGCCGATCCCGAGTAACTACAGCCCCACGGGGCCGTCCTCAGTGAGGCCCAGCCAATGCCCTACTGGGTTCCCACTGGGTCCCCTGCTCTCAGACGGCAACACTGCCCCAAGTCCCAGCGGATACCACTGTAGTAACGAGACAGTTCAAATGGGGAGGGGAGTGGACGGCAAGACCCTGAGTGCGTAAAACTCCACTTGTCCTGCATTTCTGAGAGCAAACAAGTAACCGAAGTTCGCAGGAATGCAGCACAGAAAAGAAAAAGGGGATTCTGCACCCAACTGTCACATGAATCGTCCTCACGCAGAGGAAAACATCACAGGCTGGAGCCCACCGTGGACCCGAGGTCTGTGTCTCGGGCACGAACCCGACGGAGGCTTGCTGGCTCGCAGGTCCACGGCCTCTCCAGCAGGGATGCGATGGCTGCACCACTGACTCTCCCCAGACAGGTGACTCTGACACCCCTGCCTGAGACCGAAGCCCGTGCATTACGTTCTGAACCGTCTGCACGCTCACCGACCCTGAGATGGGGCAGACGCTGTGGAATCGCGGGCTCGTGCTCCCCTCGAGGCCCGCTGGACTCACGGGTCACAGTCCTCAGGGCCACCGCGCTGCCCAGGCAGGGCAGGAAAGGCTCAGAGGCCACATCTCTCGGTGCCGTGCCCCCAGCTCTCCCCCACCTGCCCTCATGCCCACCGCCGCCGGCACGGCGGGGCCCAGAGAAGAACGCAGAGCCTCCTCACCATGTAGAACTTATCCAGGCGCAGTCTGTCAATGCCCGTCCACTCGCGGTTCATGGTTTGCCAGAATGTTTGAAGGAACAGGTGCTCTGAAGGAGAAAGGCCAGAAGAGAATCACAGGGGAACACGGATGCTGCTTTGCAAAGTGGGGTGAGAGAATGTGGAGAAACCCGATCAGGACGCCACGCGCAACCAACCGCTGGGGTCCTTGCCCCAGGCCGCGGAGCTCAGAAGCGGTGTTAGGAAGCGGGCCTAGAAATGGGACCAGAAGGGACCTCAGAAAGCAAGCGCCCAGCTACAACCTCAAACCGCAGCCACGTTCTCTGAAGAACAGGCACAGAAAGCTGGCAAAGCCGGCAGCAGAGAAGCGGCTCCAGCCAGTCCCCCCGCCCCCTCCCCGACACCCACGCCCGGCCCCCACATTCCCTAACCCGCTCAGGCACAGAACCCCACCAATGGCGGGAAGTCACACACAGTGCTACGAGCTGTGTCCCCCAAATTCACGTCGAACCCTAACCCCAGGACCTCGGAATAACTTTATCTGAAGATCGGGTCTTTAAAGAGGGAACGAAGGTAAAATGAGGCGAGCGATGGGGGCCCTAAGCCAATCTGACTTGAAGAGATCAGGACACAGACACACAGAGGGACGAGCAGGTGAGGACACGGGGAGAGGACGGTGTCTGCACGCCCAGGAGCAAGGCCTCCGGGAACCAGCCCTGCCCACGCCTTGACCCTGGGACACACGTGGGGCCTCCCTGATCTCCTGGGACAAGTTTCTCCAACAGCAAAGGTTGGTCAGGCGCTTCAATAACAGACAAGCCCCAGTCCAACTCGTACAACTATCACTAGGCGAGTCTTTCTACTTGGCCTTCTGCAGGCTCTCAGAGAGAACAAGTGAGAAAACACAGACCTCCGCTGTCTGCTCAGATGTAGTTACCTCGACTACCTGTGCACCCCTAACTGCAACTACTCCACCCACGTAAGTGTAACTGAACTAAACCCGCCCGGTCCTCACCAGCAACGGCCACACTATCCACAGGGTGACACCGGACCACCCTGGCTGTGGCCACCCGAACACCGTGGGGAGGTCAACACTGCCGGTGCCCGGCCCGAACGCCAGAGCCACATTCATCTGGACCAGGGTCTAGACATCAAGATTTGTAAAGAGGCTCCAGTGATCACAGCAGGCAGGCAGCAGGGTTGAGAACGACGCATCTTGGGCAGGACAAAAACAGAAGCGCTGGGGAAACACTGAGGGAACACCCCAACTATCAGGTGACTCAGCCAAGCAATTTGGCAACCCTGCACTAGGTCTCCATTTCTAGGTCTCCGTTTTTATTTTAAAACGTAAGATACCGGCCCTTTAGACTCCAGCTGGGTCCACGGTGGATAAACAGGTTAATACCGTCGGACACCTAGAGCAGGGTTTTGCAGTTAAGCACCAGCAGATGCCAGGCAGAACGGGACCTCCCTCTTCTCTAGGTCTCAGGACGCAAGCCTCCCACGTCCGGTAGCCAACGCTCAGCCGTTCTGCCCTTACCCCAGGGCAGCGATACTCACGTGCCTCTGTGGTCTGAAAAGCATGGATGAGCTGGGAAATGGTCCTCCCTAGTTCCTCCTGCGTGGTAAACAGTAAAAACCGCTCTCAGACCCTGAAGAAACGTGGTCTCACAACAAGAAGCATCAGCAGAGAGGGACGCCTGGGTGGCTCAGTAGGTTAAACATCCGACTTCGGCTCAGGTCACGATCTCGCGGTTCGTGAGTTCAAGCCCCACGTCAGGCTCTGTGCTGACAGCTCGGAGCCTAGAGCCTGCTTCCGATTCTGTGTCTCCCTCTCTCTCTCTGCCCCTCCCCCATTCATGTTCTGTCTCAAAAATAAACAAACGCTGAAAAAATTTTAATATAAAAGGATGTTTTTTACAATATTGGGTTTTTTGTCTACTCACTTATTATTTTTCAATTTACATCCAAGTCAGTTAGCATATAATGCAACAATGGTTTCAGGAGTAGCTTCCTTAATGCCCCTCACCCATTTAGCCCGTCCCCCCTCCCACAGCCCCCCCAGTAACCCTGTTTGTTCTCTGTATTTAAGAGTCTCTTCTGTTTTGTCCCCCTCCCTGTTGTTTTTATATTATTTTTGTTTCCCTTCCTTTATGTTCACCTGTTTTGTCCCTTAAAGTCCTCATACGAGTCAAGTTATACGTTTGTCTTTCTCTGACTGATTTCACTTAGCATAACACCCTCCAGGTCCATCCACGTAGTCGCAAATGGCAAGGTTTCATTCTTTTTGATGGCCGAGTAATACTCCATCGTATCTATATACCACATCTCCTTTATCCGTTCATCCCTCGGTGGACACTTGGGCTCTTTCCATACTCTGGCTGTTGTCGACAGCGCTGCCATAAACATGGGGGTGCCTGTGCCCCTTTGAAACAGCACACCTGTATCCCGTGGATGAATGCCTAGTCGTGCAATTGCTGGGTCGTAGGGTAGTTCCATTTTTCATTTAAAAAAACCAAAAAACACAGTTTTTTGGTTTTTTAGCAAAAAACAAAAAATCCAGCATCGAAGCTGTGAAAGTGCGCCCACTGTCTGAGGCCACCTTAAATGCCCATCTGTCCTCCCACTGGCACGGCTACTCCGGCTTCTCCCGCTACCGCCTCATACGCTCACCTGGAGGAGGGCCTTGTCCTGCATCCACATGCAGTAAAACAGTCCTTTCCAAACCTTCAGCAGCTCGTCATGAGTGAAACCACCTGCACCAGAAACAGCAACACTCGAGGTGAACCAAGATTTTAGTGCCGGGAACGAAGCCAGAGAAACGCAACTGCCCGAATCACATCAAACCCTCTCACTGTAAAGGTGCCCGGCCCTCTCCTCCAGCGCCGTCCCCTCAACTCAGAACCCGCTGGGACTGGGCCTAGTCTCCCAGGTAACAGCCATTTCATTCATCCAATAAACAGGAATCTACAAGTATCCATATTCCATTTCTGGACTCTCAACACTGCATGCGTCTGTCATAACGCATTCAGCTCTACACTTGGGATTTGTGCATCTTGGTGTTAAGCTTCAAATTTTAAATGAAAAAGTTAATTCATTCAAACTAGTAAGGGAGCTACAGAAAAGCGCTTGAAATATTTACAGGGGTCCGAAAAATGTGCCCGGCACTCCGTTCCTGAAGCAATGGTTCTCAGACTTTAGCACTAGGAATGGAATCACTCGGAAGGTTTCTGACTCCTTAGGGCTGGAATGGGACTCAATAATTTGCATTTCTAACACGTGCCCGGGTGACGCGGAAGCTGCTGATAGGGGCCACACTTTCAGAACCAGCGTTAGAGAGATCAGTTCACAAGAAGCACGTTCCCCGCCCCGGCGGAGGCCACGCTACACCGAACTCACACCACAACCCAGTGACTACACAAAGAGAAAACTACCAACGGCAACAAATGCCGCCCTGAGGGAAAAATACCGAGTGCCCGAACACCGGGTAGCAGAGATATCAGGACACACGGTCTGATGACGGCGCCGGTTCCCAGGGGGAGGGAGGTCTGAGCTGGGAAAAGGAGGTAAGGGCTTGGGGGGG